GCGCGGCTGAGCCGCCTCCGCACAACCTCACAGCTCCTCCGTCAAACCACCAATTCTTTCTCCTCTCACCCTCTCACTTTCCTCTTCCTCACTCTCCTTCTCTTCTCCTTCCACTCTCTCCTCGATCATTGCTCTCTCCTCTTAACCTCCTTCGTCGACCGTGACCCATCTCTCCGCTCTTTCCTCTCTCGCCTCCCTCTCCACCATCCTAACTCCCACGCGCCCACGCGCTTCCACCATCACCACCGGCGTGCTCCTTTCCTCCAGCTCACGCGCCTCGGCACCCTCGACGACGACTTCTTCTCCACAGACGAGCACGATCCCAATCGCCGATCTCTCTTCGGCTCTCCTTTCTCTTCCCCTCTCAATGCCACCACTGTAATTCTCTCCGGATTCGAGGGCATTTCTGGCTTCTCTCACCCAATCTCCGATAACGGTCTTTTCCTACCTCAGATCATTCGCTCCGGCTTCGTTTTGCGGCGGCTCTCTTCTTCCGATGAAGATAAAGAAACGAAATTCGATGACTCTGAACACGATCGCGAGTCTGGCGAGACGAAAGACGATGAATCGGAGAGATTCGTGGATCTGAAGATGTTCTTCAAGGGACTGGAGCTGGGTCGACACGACGCTGCGGCTATCTTCTTCTTGGTGAGCTTCTTATCCGCAGCTTATGGATGGGTGATTCTAGGGTTTACGACCGTATACTCATTGGTGCTAGCGATTATGTTCGTCACTGTAATCAACGATTTGCTCGGTAGATTTCCTTCGTTTCTTGGGGTTGTTTGGAAAGGTTCAAGATTAGGGTTTAAGAGAGTTACAGGATTCATTTTGATGAGATGGGCAGTGAGAGATGCGCTTACACAGCTTCTTGGTTTATGGTATTTCGGAGAGGTTGAAGATCAGTACTCGTTTTTCCGGCTCTTTGTGAGGTTAAAGCTGATGCCTTTCACTGTTATGCCACCATGGATCAGAGGTTTCGAGAAGGAGATATCTGGTTTCTTGTTTGCTTGGTTTCTACTTGATACGCTCATCGGTTTGATACTAGCTGTTGATGCTTTTGTTGCTATTGTTGATTCAAGGAGAAGAGGAAGGGATATTGTTAAGGAAGGTCTCTATTTGATATCTCTTCTGTTGCATCAGGCCGTTCAGCTTAAGTGTCTTGAAGCGGTTCTTTGTGGCTCTTTCTTCAGATGGGTTTTGGTTCAAATCCTTGGGAAAAGCTTTGCTTCTGTGGTCCAGTCTGCTTTGGAAGTTTATTTCATGGCTGCTTGGTTAGTGTTCTACTTAGCAGCTAGGTGTAAAGATGCGCACGCGGAAGGTAGGAGGTTTGGGAGAAGAGAAATGGAGAATTTGATCGATGGGCTGAGATGATAACGAAATGTGGATGTGTAGGATGAGTTTCAGTTTTCGAAGGAGCAAACGTTGGCTTCAATGCTTGATGCAAGTGGCTACATCTCTGTGGCAGAAGTTGTCATTGCTAGGTTTCTGTGGTTTTAGAATTACAGTTGATTGATTTGATTGCCAACAATTCGATGTATGTACGCAACTAGGATTACTTGTGAGCTGTGAAAGTGGGAGCACGATACAACTACTGTGTGTACTCATTTGCAAGATTGTCCTTTGTATATATCTTGCTGCAGTTGTTGATATCAAAACCACGAGGTGATCAATTATTCTTTTCATTTTTGGAATGATAATAGATCCATGTTGCTCAGCTTAAGTGTACCTATAGTGGCCATTTTGTTCAACCATTTTGATCTTCTTTTTGTCAATACAACATGTTTAACATTATTTGGACTGACACAATGGGGAATGATTGCTCAACCCTTATTCTAACATACATATTCAATAGTCTAGCTTCTTGTGAAAGAACTAACTCTTGGTCATTTCGGACTGATTCTTTAAAGAACTACACTCTGCGTTCTTGTGGTAACAGCAGGCAAGGTCATTCCTGATGGCACATACAACCATCGCAGGGATATATACTCTCTTAGCAGCTGCATCAGAGAAGTATTCAAGTATGTTTTATGTTTGCAAACGTGTTGCAGGACTGTGTCATCTGGTTTCAGAAACGTTGCTTTCAAAGACGGCTTGGCCTTTGTCTCGAGATATGTGAGAAGGATCTGTGCTCTCTCCCTCTGCCCCCACTAGAAAATAATCTTTGTTAGAGTTTCATGTTTCAGTTAATTGGAAACAATGGAGCTCTTGTATGTTTCTTGTGTAATTTGCATGTTTTAGTGTCTTATATTCGGTAACATGCTCTGGCTTTAGTTGCTTCATGTTTATCTTTGGAGCTGGAGAAGTTTGATACAGAATTTAAATCGTTTACTGCTTGCGGTTTAGCTAATAACATTTCTCCTGCTGAATTTTAGGACACTTTAAATACAAAAAGTCTTACATTATTAGTGTACCGCGATAGCTAAGCAATAACCAACATTCTCTTTGGAAATGTGGAGCCGGATAAAATAATAAATGTCTTCAGTTCCTGTACAAGAACCTTCCTAGATACATATGCAGTTTGTCTGATGCTGTGGAGCACCAGCGCAACGGACAACATCGAGGAAAGTGCTCTCGTCGCATGGAATCCAAAGTCTGGAGCTAGCGCTGAAACCGTAAGTATCCTGTGCTTGATCCAACAATGCCTTGAAGAGTGGGTGTTTAAGCAAGGTGATCTTTATCACAAACCTCCTGTACTCTTCACCCACATATACAACCAAGTGACCCTTAGGGACATCTCTTGGTACCACCTCGGTTTCCTTCTTGAATGCCCAACAAATTCTTTCGCAGCATGACTCGCAAGACGCACAAGGTATTATGACTTTGCCTTTCATCATTTTCAGTTTCTTTTCGCAGGACTTAATGAACTTGCTCTTCATTTTTTAGTAGGAGGAGAAGATTAATATAACAAAGT